AAATTAATCCTATTTCCACATCAATTTAGTGGGGGGGGGGGGGGGGGGGGGGGGGGGTTGGAGGTCAAAATCAGTGCTATTCAAATGATTAAATGGAGTGATGCTGTGGTACTGGTTGGTAGCAGGATGATAATATGATCTTCTTCTACTTCACCTCTACACCTTGGGCCAGCAGAGCATCAGTTCTGCTTACTGGCAACTCTGAGGCCTCTGCTCTTGCCCATGTCTTCTTGAGTTTGTGACAGTGTTTCGGCACTAAATGTTCTGATCTGGTGAGCTGGATTTCCCCGAGGCACATTAACACGTCGTGTCTTAAAGTGAACAAACCAAACATGATACAAAAACCCCAACCTGCAGTTGTACCAGCACAAGGTTAATGTGCCAGAGTATCTCTTGGCCAGTCGCGACTATTTCCACCTGTTTTCAGTCTTCGTGCTAAGCTACTCCAATTAACTGCTGGCTGTAGCCTTATATTGAACAGAAAGATATGGGAGTAATATCAATCTTCTCCTGTAACTCTTGGCAAGAAAGTAAATAAGCATACTTCCTAAAATATTGAATTATTCCTTTAATTTAAAAATATTGTTTTAAGTTTTATTCATTTAATTTTGTGATATGGTGTAGCTTAAATTGAGTTTGAATCAGAGGGTAAATGAAGATGAATTATTAGGCAGAAAAATACAAAAACTCCAACTTGGAGCACTTTCCCTTTGTTCCTGTGTGAAAGGTACCTGTAGTGATGATCTTTTGTACAGTGTGCGTGTAAAACTTCTGGCTGGCCATGTCACAGTAAACTCACCTCCTCAGTTAGATCAATAATATGCTGAATCCTCACTGCTCGCCTTCCAGCGGAGCTCCCTCTTGTACACATACTACATTGTACACTGTTAGATATCATCCGTCTGTGATGTTGAGTGCATTCCAGGAGTTATTTCATGTTGCACTGATGCAATTCATGTTTGTGGCTTACTCAGCTTCCCTGAGCCCACCTTGTTTTCTTCTACTGTAGAATTCCCCCCAAACAGTAGCAGTCTGGAGCTGTAGCATTCGAAGGTTAGCGTGTGGGTTTAACGTGTAGGTGGAGACAGCTTAGTGAGAGTGAGAGAGCATGGATTTACAGTCAAGAGAAATTAAACGCACATCCATGTCCGCTGCAAGAGCAGTGCAAGACAGGTCAAAACAGCACACGTGTTTTCAGCCTCACTAAACACATTCGGACGTAATTTCTCTATTCAGTCCATTTCCTTTTGTGCTGTGTGATAATGCTTAGTTTAAACTTTCAGAACTTTAATTACCTGTGTTCAATTGCAAGACATTTGTTCTACCAGCTTTTTCACTTTTCATTAATTACGCTGAAATCCAATTACAGAGAGTGCTACATCAGTCTTTAAACTGTTAGATTTGGCCTGAGCTGTGCTGACATCAGACCAGTGCCCCCGCACCATTGGGTACGTCCTGGGTCCAATATGATTTGTTAACTACTTTCAGCAGTCTATTGCACAGTCCCCGTGGAGAAACGGCATATCTTTTCTCTTCCACCCCCCACCCCCCACCCCTCCCTCACAGACTTGACACCATTTCGGTCACGCTACATTGATGTTTTTGGGGTTCCTCCGAAAAAGCTTGTTTAAAGAAACATTTCAGGACTCATCTCATTTTCCTCCCTGTGGTCCGCGCAGTTGTCTGTCGGTGAGGTTCGGCAGGAGTGCACGGAGTGAGAGAGCGAGAGAGAGTGGGAGGGAGTGCATTTCTCCCGTGTCTCCATTATGCATTTCTATATCTTCTCCCTCGCCAAATGAGTCCTTTGTCTGCTCAGAGACCAGCGCTAATGAGAGAGTTGCATTGCAGCATTTTAGGAGCCATTGCTCCACTATTCATCAGGAGAGATTTGTGCTCAGCCGTTTTGTTTTTTTTTTTTTTGTTTTTTTCTACTCGGCCAACCCCCCTCTCTTCCCCTCTCTCTCTCTACTCTCTACTCTCTGATTGATGATAACGAGGTTGTTGGCTACAACCAGCTAAAATGGCTCCCAGCTCTCTGTGTGTGTGTGTGTGTGTGTGTGTGTGTGTGTGTGTATGTGTGTGTATGTGTGTGTATATGTGTGTCTGTGTGTGCGCGTGTGCGTGCATCCATGAGCATGCTTACTTGTGTGTGTTGTTCCCTGCCTCTCGGTTCTGTCATTTGCTGAATCTGAGCATCTGTGCTTACCGCCATCAACACTCCTGTGTCTTCATGTGCGAGACTGTTGCCGTGTTCTGTGTGTATACATGCATCAGTATACGCATGTGTGTGTGTGTGTGTTTGTGTGCCATTGAATGTGCACATATCAGGAGGCGATGTAAGGCCTCTGCTCCTGTGAGTCACACATTGCTGTCTGCTTCCTGAATAGCCCTGAATAGACCATCACTCAGAGCAGTGGAGATGATCGTCTCTGCTTGCTTCTACAAATAAAGAACGAGAGGATGCAAGGCACAGAAGGACATATACAGAGACATTTACGTCAGCATAAGACAAAAGCAGGAGAAAACCGAAGAAATGCACATTAGTTAATGTGGATAAATGGATAAAAAGACATAAATATGAATTTTAAATTCAAGTTTACAGGCATATACATGTATCAGGGGGAACAAACAATAAAAGGGACATTTTATTCTCACCTCCAAAAACACATTGATGCAGTCGCAGCTTTTGTTGGTGAAAGTTTCAAAATTCTGAAATGATGTCTTTCAACATTGTAGCTTCATGTGTATGTGATGTATTCTGGGTTCAGGTTCTCCACAACAAGACAATCAACTGTGATGTCTCTTGTCTGTGTTTACACTGATTGTCCACAAGCCCAAAAGGTCTGCGACTACAGCAGAGAAATGACTGCTCCCTCTCTTCTCCCTTTCTTTTCCTCTCCTCTCTTCCTGTCTTCTACCCTGTATTCAGGCTGCAGGCAACATGACTGATCTGTTGCTCCATTCTGGCCAATTGTCACTGTCTCCATGTTGTTTTAGTGCTAGTGTTACCTTGACAGGGCACTACTTCTTCTATCAAAGCAACATAAACCCATGTTTTTATTGCTTCAGTTTTGTCAGGTGTTAACTCATTTTTAAGAAACATGGATCGCTAGAAAGCATTAATTATGTAGTACATGAATAAATGTTTTTATTTTGTTTTTATTTTTTATCATTGTATAGTTTTATTGCTACAAATCATGTGGTTATGTTCAGAAAGCAGCACTGTACATGGAAGGGTGTTCTAATATAGGAAAATAGTAAATGTAGTAGAGATGAATAATGTTACGATGCAAAACCTGCTGGATTCATTGTGCATTGATTTGGTTTATTAGTAAGTTTCACACTTCACACTCTAGCCCCTTTATTCCTATACTGAAGATATAAACCTTTAAAAACATGTCACAAGTACTGTATCTAGTTTAATTTGTCAACATGTCTAAATAATTTCCTAAAACCGCTGGGCGCTGTGACTTTGAGCAAACCTTCACTCCAATAGGAGCAAATACGGGACTGACTCAAGATAAATGACAGTGGCCATGTTCAGTGGTAATGAGGGAACATGTCACCCTTTGCGACAGTGTGGCTCACTGAGTTGTGGACAGCAAATGGAGCTCTATGACACAGATGAATAAGCCACATCAAGCTTCGGCCACACTTGCTTCAGTTCATTGTCGGGTTTGGTGTTTAAAGTACAGAATAAAGTACAGAATACAACAAAATTCATCCTCAACTGTTAGTAGCTGATATTAACTGTAACAACAGACTGGAACTACTGTATATTTGGGGTGTACCGTTATAATGATGAGACCTTCCAGCCAATAGTTGGGACCAACTAACTAACATGATGTGTGGCTACTGGACAGTGTGTTAAGTCTGAGTGGCTGAAACACCAAATTATTATTTTCACCATGAGTTTTTTCTCCAATTACATGGTTAATATAATTTTGTTGTAACTCAGTAGTTTATTCAAATTTTGTCTGACCATTATTCATAGTCTCTTCACAAGGATATTAGGTGTTGGGATCATATGAAAATGAGAAAAGCAGCAAATCCTCACATTAGAGAGGCTGCAACCAGCAAAACGTGATGGGATTGCTACTGAATAAAAGGCTTAGAATTATTATGAAATATTCTTCGACTAATTTCTTTTCTGATTTTTAAATGTTCTGTTTTTTGTGTTACGTAGAAATGATGATGCATCTCTAGCTCTTTTGGCTATATCCTACTTCGCCATTTAATGTCATTTCAATTCATCTCACTGTGTGGGCACCAAAGTGGAGAAAACATTAGTGTTTCTGTTCATCTCTGCTCCTCCTTCCCTTTTACATCTCCCTCATCCTCCCTCTAATTCACATGTCCTTCCCTCCCAGCTCAGTGCCCCTGCATCTCTCATCAACCTTTGTTGGTTATTCAGAGTTTTCCATCCATCTATTCATTAGCTCCTTGAGGGTCGCAGGGGATGGGGCTGCAGCCAATCCCAGCTGACACTGGGCTAGAGGCGGGGTACACCCTGGATGTGCTGACAGTCAATCACAGGGCTGACAGACAACCATTCACCCTCACAATTCACACCTACGAGCAATTTAGAGTCGCCTGTCGTATTCAGTTTTACTTTCAGTTAAATAGTTAAATAGTTTTATAGTTGATGTAGCAATAATACAGGCTATTGTTGTTTACTATGGGAGTCAGCTGAATTATCTCTATCTCTCTTCCACACACACAAACAGAAATTAGTTCATTTCAGTTAAAATTCCAATTAAGTCTCCTGGTTTGCTTTACCGGCATGAATGTTAGATGAACCGCATAGACAAAGTAAGGAAATAAAAGGGCAACAATTTAAAAAAATAACTACTGCATAGTAGTGGACGTGTAAAATAATAATCAAACAAGAGGAGGAGGAAACACACAAACCAGTCTAACATAACACCCGATGCAACATCTGAAACATGTAGCAGGGATGTGGTTCACATGTTGATTTTTGTTCTCTGTCTCTTTCACAGGGTCCCATAGAGAATGATGTTGTGATTCACGTATCCCTGATAGCAGAGAGCCAGAGGTAATGTGTGTGTGTGTGTGTGTATATATATATATATATATATATATATATATATATGTGTGTGTGTCTCTTCATGTATTACAGGCCTTAACGCAGGGTTATTTTCCGCTCCTCTCTGAGCTACCTCAGTGCTGTAATTGTGGTGAGCTCATAAAGCTGGTGCTCAGCCTGACCTCCGCCATCGTCTGTCACTCTTCTCATTGTGCGTGTGGGTTTGTGTGAGTGTGTGTGTATGGATGCTTGGATACACGTGTAAGAGTGCGGGTGTGTGGAGGTATGTTAAACAGGGTCAAATGACTTTGTGAATCTTGTTAACCTGTAGCTTCATTTACTACTGCTGGCAAGTCCCCATCAGGAATCCTGATGCATCTTTTCTCACTGCTGTACACTAATGCTACACTATATGCTGTGGTTCAATTACAGCTACAGCTAGCAATGTGCGAAGCAGTTTTCAGTGTCCTGAATCACTAGAATTGCTCATTGCTTGACCGGAGCTTCATACTCCTGCTCACTGAGCTGAAAAACAGCCAACGGTTCATATTCTTCATGATCCCTGACTTTCACACACCAAACTCTGTTCATAATTCTTGATATTTTAAAGGTTTCCTTGCTGAATTTTTGGAGATGAACACTGGTTTTTAGTAACTTTGTAGGTCTTATTAACTAATCCACAGTCCACCAATTCGAGCTGCTGACTGTCATTCAGGACTCACATTCACTGTGTAGTACATTCAGTGAATGAATCACTGAACATGCACTGTTCCTTCGCAGTGAAAGGATCTGAGACAGTCTCAGGAGCCGCTGACAATCACTGAGTTTTTTTCAGTTTGTGCCATTTTTTTTGCTCTGCTCTTCATACCACATTCTGCCATTCACATAATCACTGCCATGCATATATTCTGCTGATGTATGTAAGAAGTTGTCATTCATATTTATTACTATAATTCACATATTTAAATACTATTCATAATTTTGTGGACGTTCAAATGTTTTTCTCTGCCAGTAATGACTCACTTATATTTTGTACTTGTTTCTATACACTACTTGTGACATGTTGCGTTGTGTTGTACTGTACATGTGTTGCTGCTGTGGCAAAGTAATTTCCCTGTGGGATCAATAAAGTACCTTGCCTAGACTTGAACACACCCAGTTTCTCCTGTTAACAAAATGACTTGAATCATTAACACCTGACTGAGAGCTCGACTGAACTGAGAAATGAACAAATTGTTTCAGAAAGTGATTTAGTTCAGTATTCATTCTTGAATTAAACAACAACACTGAGTTTTATATTTGCAAGAACACAACACCAATAGATGTAATAATGTTCTATAGACCTTAATGTTCTATTGACATTTATAAAGCTACAGATTTACAAAAGGTAAATCAGAATAGATTTAAAGGTCAGCAGATGGTGTAGGCTCACAGCACAGCATATTTGCAAGGGAATGATTAGTATTGAAAAGTAATTTGAGAAACGTTTTTCTAGATATAACATATAATTAACTCAATTTTTTTTTTGTGGGATTTTCGACTGGTGTAAGGTTAATTTTCAGCCACAGCTACAGGTAAAATGCCTAAGATTGTCAATTTGATATTGTTTTTTTTGGCTAGGCTACAAAAGGCCATCTTTGGAAGCACAAATGTCCGTGACTGACTAACTGAGTGATGAAGTTACACCACTGGTTGTTGCTGATACAAAATGAATTGGTGTGAACATTTTACTATTATGAGGGAGGCATTTAGAAAAAGTGCTGCCAACTTAGCGCCATTTTCGCTATGTTTACTGACTTACCAGAACCCTCTAGCGATTTTTTTTCAAAAAAGCATCTAGCCACTCTAGTGACTTTTTGGACAAACCTTAGCTACTTTCTGTAGAAGACAATTGCAAGTAAGTTGTGGATTTTGTCAGATACTTATGCAGTTAACAAATCAGAATTTTAGCAGTCCTGAGCAACAGCTTGGAAATAGTTTGGGAGTGACTGTTGGTTAACATGTAGTCTTAATGGGTCTTGTTACAGATACTATTTCAAACTTTATCTGTTGTCTGACAACAGAAACAAAAAAATATGTAAATGAGAACAATTGTATTGGAAAGAGTAAGAGAGAAGCAAATGGGTAAATGGCTGAAACTGGCTGACACTAGGCAGAATGCAGATAGGATCCAATGACATCACAATTTTGCTAACTGCCACATTTTATAAATTAGCGACCTCAATTATGCACATTGACCATACATAGTCCAATTATATACTAGGTTTTGACTTAGTCCTGATTTTTGACCTGGTCTTGTTTTTGTGTTTGTGCATCTGTAGATTACAGGTGTTTCTGAACACCTATGGCATTCAGACCCAGACGCCCCAGCAGGTGGAGCCAATCCAGATCTGGCCTCAGAAAGAACTGGTGAAGGTAACACAAGCACACGTTGGTACTGTTGCTACATTTAGTTTTCTTTTCTTGAATGGTACGTATACAGTTTACAATGTTATGGTGTTATGGTCATTTTGGAAGAAAAAAAATGGGTGCTTGACTTCAGAAACTAGTAGACACAAGCAGACTTTTCATTTCTAGCCAGCAACCATTGATTTTGGGAAAACATTCTTGCACACCTAAAATTCATAGTGAGAGGTGGGATCACAAACTCATAACTTAGAACAAAAAGCGAAATTCCTGCACAAATACTGTCCATCACTTGTACTTGTAATGTGTTAGGGATTTTTTGCCTTTTATTTACTTTATTCGCTGCAACATTAACTTTGTGAATTAGTTATAACTCCATTTGCAGCTGACTTTTTAATGCTCCGGGCTGATACCAAAATGAGAATCCTGCTGCATTGTTGCATCTGTCCCTAGCTTAGTTGTTACTAGTTTTCCATGTGGAAAGCATGAAAATAAAAGAGCAACAATATTCTTGTTTTGCAGAGTAAGGGTAGTTTTCCCTTGTGTTGAAGTACAATATGAGAATGAACATAAGAAAAATGTAGCATGAGACTGTTATTTCTACTGAACATGATGTAGTACAATACTAAACTATAGAACGATATGAGGCTACAAATACAACAGATGCCAGGCTCTACAAATACACGAATGACTTTGATAAACAGCACAAACGTTCAATTTATGCTGTAATGTTATATATATCTAACAGTATGTTTCACTTGAAAAGTAGAATAATGAGTGTGGCAAAGTCACCTTAGGTAAACTCAAATCCAATACACAGCAGGACAGAGACACTAATGTTAAACTCAGATATAGCAGTTAAAAGCATCTGTGACTGGTGTTCCATCAGCTCTCAAACCACAGATGTATTTGTCTTTGAATGGAGCTTTTTGTGAAGTAACCTGTTATCCCATGTAATAATGTGATTTGCTAACTAATGGGCCTTGATGGCCTTGGAAGTAATCCTAAATCCTAAATTTTGCTACGACTGTAGGTAACTAGCCAGGCATGCTAATGATCATGTCTTACATTAAAGCAGATAAACACTCACTTTTCCCTCTTGTGTTCTTGACTTCAAGAACTTTCAAGTTTAAAAAAACCCCTCCAAACTCTTTGTATCTGGAATATTTAGCTACACTCATTGAAACCTCACTGATAACAGAAATTTAGCAGTGCACAATTAACTGCAGCTACTTGGCCTTACACAATATCTTTAACTGTAAAAGGAGATTCCAGGTCATTCCTGTTCATTCCTGTTCATTGTGAATGATTGGACAGAAATTTGAGGGAAGGAAACTGTGACAGACTATTGATGGCACCCCACCTCCACCACAACTATACAAATCAATCTTACAGTCAACGAGATTACATTTCAGCAGTTAGCTATCAATATCCCAGCAGAACTTGGCTCAGTCAGTCCATCTGCTTGTCAGTCCAAGATTTCCTGCTCTTAAGATTTTCCCCTTGATTGTACCATCAATCACAACGAGGCTGCAGATTGGTCGAAGTGATTGATTCGTCAAACAGTGATTGTTCATGTTGATTGATCAGCATAATGGTGGAGCCGTCACTGTTTCACTTTGGCAAATTGGAGATGCATGGAGCTGAGCGGTTTTAACTTTGTTCTCAGAGGGGAACGTTAGAGATGAAGAACAGATGGAAAATATCTCAAATGCTGAGTTGTGGTATTCAGAAAGATTCATTTGGACTCACCTCCATCGTTACATTAACAACTGTTCACTCTTGCGTTTGAATATTTGAAGGTCAAAATGAGCGGATCAGTTCCTCAGATCAGTTGCAGATCTGAGGAGCTTCAGAAGAGAATGTAAAAGCTGCATTTGGATGAAATCTCTTTAACTTTAAAAGCTCTCAAGAATTCAGAGAAAAAGCTCTTTTTTAAGATCTTTGAAAATACATGGTGGTTTTTGAAGAAGCTGAATAGGCACCGACATTATGGTACTGCCTAAATGATGAAAGCACAAAATGAAATTAAATAAGTCGTTATTCCAACCTTATTCTCCCTTTTATGTTTTCCCATTTCCAAACCAGCATATCTACGTTTGGGTTAACAAACTGTTGCTTATATGTCACTTCAGATGGACTCTTTTCTCCAGCTCACCTTGGTGGCTTTTTTTTTAATGTAATGTTATTACAGTCTTTTTGTTCATGAAGAATTCCACAAAAAGCTTATGTTGTTTTCAGCAATCGTGCTGCTCTTGCAAGTCAAACGTTAAAGTTTTCTACCAGCTCAATTGAAACAGAAAATTAGAAGTCACTATCCAAAACCTATGATACATAAAAATCCTTGATGTCCTTTTTATTACAAGTCAGTGTTCTCAACAAAAGGGGAAGAGTTGGGATTCAATACCACTTCATAAAATCTGAATGGAGCAGCTCATGAAATTGAAATCCTTTCAAATCCCTTACCAGATCTAATCAGGTTTAACCTAAGTAACAAAATTAATAACTAACTCAATATTTAAGCTCTAAAACACAAAAGTCTTAGGTGTAGTTCCAAGATATATTTAATGTTTGCTTTTTTGTTGAATGGTATGTTTTATACATTATACATGCTCTGCTCTTTCATGTCATTAACTAATCAGCCAATCATGTGGTAACATTTCAATTATTGCAGTTCTGAAGCCTCAGTTATTCTGCACATCAAACATCAGAATGGGGAAAAATGTGACGGTGTCAGATACCTGGTTTGAGTGTTTCTGAAGCTATTGATCTCCAGGGATTTTCACACACAACAGTCTCTAGAGTTTTTACTCTACTAAAACAAAAAACAGTGAGCGACAGTTCTGCAGACTGAAACACCTTGTTGATGAGAGGTCAGAGGAGAATGACCAGACTGGTTAGAGCTGACAGAAAGGCTACAATGACTCAGATAGGCACTCTTTACAACTGTGGTGAACAGAAAAACATCTCAGATCTCACAACACACACAACCTTGAGGTGGGTGGACTACAACAGCAGAAGACCACGTCAGGTTCCACTCCTGTCAGCTAACAGAAATATGAGGCGGCAGTGGGCACAGACTCACAGTTGAAGTTGAAAACACATCAGCCTGGTCTGATGAATCTGGATTTCTGCTGAGGCACAAAGACAGTAGGGTCTTTGTGCTTAAAACCATAAATATATCTTCACTACTAAAGTGTAAAATATACCTTTAAGCACATTTTATGGGGAGTCACAGAAGCAGAAATTTTAATTAGCGTCACCATCATGAATCCATGGACCCAACCTGCTTTATGTTATATGGCTGCTGCTGGTGGTGTAATGGTGTGAGGATTGTTTTTCTTGGCACACTTGGATACTTTTAATACCAATATCAATACCAAACCTGAGTATTGTTGTTGACTATATGTATCACTTTATGACCATAGTTTACCATCTTCTAATGGCATGATAAGAGCCTAAGAAGAATCATGTCATAAATCAAAAATCCAGCGTATGACGTTTGGGATGTGGTAGAACAGCAGATGAATGATGAAGTGATGTCATTTTATCATGGAGCAGAATCTCAAAGGAATGTTTCCAACATCTTGTGGAATCAATGCTACAGAGAACTGAGGCCTTACCCAGTATTAGTGTGGTGTTCATAATGAAGTGTTCACTGAGTGTAAAGAGGGGATTTCATAAATGTATTTCTTAGTTAGTACTTTATTAACCTGGAATTGGATCCAAAATTCTGTTGCCATCTGTTGAAACCCAACCCTCGTTAATACACAATGAGGAGGGAGGAAAACAAGATGACTTTACCTGGATGAAAGCACTGCCAATCTTGGATTAAAAATAGCAACAGTCGTTCTGTGGGTGTAAATATTCCATTGAGATGACAAAATACTGGTCATCACATCTGGGATTTGTGTCAGTACATGTATCCTGTTGGTAACAGTCTGTTGTAACTTAGTGAGTAACAGTTTCAGCACTAGCTGTCCATTCTGCTTCTTTCATCTGTAGCAGATTACACCATTGGTACTGCCATATCTATGACACCAGCCACTACCCCACTTCCAACTTCAGTTTCACTCCCATCACATCCATCACTCAAACCCTAGTCTCTTCTCTCAATACTGTCCCTCATCTGCATGTGTGCCGTTTGAAGTTTACTATTTTCCTCTCCTGTCATATCTGTCACTCAAACATCCGATCTCCTCCCTAGCCTCTATTCCTTGTCTGTCATGTCTGTTATGTGGCATCTATTTTCTACCATGTTCTACAAACAAACAATTTCTGCTATCATGTCATCTCTCTCGGCTCTCTTCTCTCCTCCAGGCCTTTTTACCTTCTGTCCCTCGGCTGCTTTATCCTCCACCACATCCGCTTCTGTAACCCTATTCTATCCTCTAGGCCTACATCCTGCCCCGCCCCCATTACGTCCATTACACCAGACAACTCTCCCCTCCAGGTCTATCATCCGACTTTGAACTGTCATACCTGTTACTTCTCCCTCCTTACCCCTCTGCCTCTTTCTGCCGCGCGGTGCTCTTCCTCTCAGATGGATATGCAATTGTGAGTCAGAGCGGGCACTGTGCTGAATATTAAATCTGAAGACCAGCCAATCTTTCTTCCTCGACAGAATCTGTGTATCTTGGAGTCACCATCATTTCCAGTGCAGCAGGCTGCGTTTGCTCACCTCGCCTCGTCCCTCGCAGCCATTTGATTGTGTTGACAACAGCTGCCTGACGATGGGAGAGTGGCAATTACATTTCGCAATGTGTTATTCCCACCCGCGCACCCTAAAGCTTGTCCCCTTGCAAATCACTGCCTTGCCCAAAAATAGCCTCCCTTTTAGCTGTTTCTTTCCCTTTTTCATATCAGACAGCCGATGTGGGTGTCATAGTAGGTGACATTCTGTTTGTTGACACTCATTTTTTTCACATGTTGCAAGCAACACCTGGAGTCATCCGAATGAGGTCTCAAAAGGCTTTAAAGGAAAATTCCAGTATTTTTGCCCCAGTGTCGTTATATTTTTGTCAGTTATAACTGTTGGTCATGACAACATTTTGCTCAGGACTTTTGTTGGAGATATTATGAAAATACATGGGATGTTGAATGGGACAGCACAAGCCAACTGCAGCTTTAAATGTAACAGAAATCATCTCAAAAACCTGTTTTTACAGAAAGTAAAAAGAGAAACTAGTTGCATAGAAATGCTGGTAGCTGCTGTACAAAATCCCTTCTCTGTGTTACTATCCCTCCACCATAGCTCAACAAGGAAATGCTATCCAAGGGAATCTTTTACAAAAAAGAATGTGACTTTCCCTCTGTAACTTTGTGATGTCACAACAAAGCAGTGACCACTCTCAGCCATGCCTCAAGCCCCACCCACCTGGACAGGGCTTGGTTTGTCTGAGTGTTTAACTGAAAACTGCTTTATTTTTATTCATTACTCAGAAAACAGTGAGCCAATCAGAAGAGAGGCTCAGAGTAACCTGTTGTTACTAGAGCTCCAGAGAGAAGCCTGAGAGAGGAGATGTAAGACTATTCAGAGATGCTTTTGGTGCATAAAACCACAAATATATCTTCAACACAACACTTCAAATAAAACACAGGAAAAGTGTAAAATATACCCTTAAACACATTTTATGGGGAGTCCCAGGAGCAGAAATTTTAATCCCAAATTTAAAGGTATGTACAGTGTCATATTGAGCTGTTTGGCAAGATGCTGAACTGCCACTTACTTTAAGTCCCTCTGGATGACAGCATCAGCTGTCAAAGTAAATCTGTTATGTGCATTTTTTGACACCCAACAGTTACATTTACACTATTTGGGGCACCAACCCAGCAATGATAAAACGCGCGGGAACATACTCCTGTCTGAGCTCCTGTCCACCTGAGGAATGTCTCTATGGTGAATTAAAAGTTTTGCAGAGTTTGTCACACCTTGTGGCCACTGCAGAAGTATAAAATACAGCTTTTGAATATAGCTTTTTATTATCTCTCCCGCCTGCCAGGCTTGCTGTTTGTGCTGCGGTCTGTGGAAATGTGAGGGAATGAAAGGATGCTTTGATAGGCTGCCTGTGTGTTGTCGTTCTTCATTGGTATTCTGCACACAGGAAGTGTTGGGTGCAGAGGTTCCTCCCTCGCTTTTCTCCTCCAGGTCTCATCCTTGTCTTTTAGGGCTGTGATTTGCAATTCCGCTTCATCCTCAATTAACATTTCTCTTTTTTTTTTTTTTTTTTTTTACATAAAGATTGTACTTCTCCCTCTTTTTGTGTAATTTCTTATAATTGGTCCAACCCTTGCCTTCTCCTGTTGTGGTCAGTACAGGCTTTTCAGGGCAGTTAGCAGTGAGTAGCTCTGCTGTGCACATGGCACAGGAGTAGCAGAGCACCACCTTTTGGCTGACACCATGTATTGCAGTTGGTTTGAGACAGTAGAATGCGGCACGGAGAGCTTGACGGGCAGATCTCCTGCTGTGCCACTTGAGTGTGTGGGTGTACTGATGCTGTTTCATGATAAGACAGATTGGGAGGGAAGAAGTACTCACACTCAGCCAGACACATCAGAAAACACAAGTGTAATGCACAAAACACACATAAATAATAACTTGTGGCGAGTGTGTCACACCACTGGGCTTGAAGCAAGCAGAGCAGAGAAATCAATGTCCATCTTCTTTTTCTTTTTTATCTTTGAATCAGTGTGTTTTGACAGCGGGCAACACAGCAGTAAGAAGCTTTTATCTGAAGCACCAAAGTAATGCACTGGAAACTGAGCTTCTGTATCCTCCATGCTGCCATCTCTAGATGCATTTCAGAGACGGCTGGGGGAGAAGGCCAAGACCTTTTCCTCTGTTTTCCTCTGTTTTGTCTTTGGCTAATTACTGCAGCACCTGTGAAGACGGTCAAGGATTCCTATTTATTTGTCTTGCTCTTTAAATATATACTGTAGATGCGTAATTGTGCAGCATTACCAATGCCTCAAATAATGCAAAAGACTTAAAGTACAACAGTGTTGTTGACCGGAGCTTGTGTTAAGGTTTGAGCTGAATCAGCTCTAGAAATCTAAATTGAACCTGTGGTGTGTGAATCAAACTTTTTCTAACGGACACTGCAGGATTTTCATTCTACCAATTAAGTGTGAAACTTGACCTCAGCAGCCCCGAGCTCAGCTTCTTCAGCCAAACCCTGTTGGAGTTGAGCATTAATGTCAAGCTCTCTCCTAGTCTCTTTGTGCTGGACATCCTACACTGCTGATGTAAACGATTTTTAGTCCATAAACTTCTTTTATACCTGACTTGACTCTGTGTTTTCACCTTCGGACTGTGGGATCTGGCTGTGTGTGGAGAGACAGGACTTCTAACTTGATTAAACCACAGAACCTCTCCCGTAGAGCCGGAGAGGATGGAATTACAGTGTGCAAACAGATTATGCGTTGACCATGTAGAAACCACCTACTGCTACCACCTACAGCTCAAAATAAAGGACTCTGATCTATATCAATCCCGGTTTTGAAAGTAGAATTGGAACATTTTATTGAGTTTCTGTACCCAAAAAATATCGATCTGAATTCAAGTTTTAGTTTTATGAATGAGTAAATGAGTAAGTTCACCATTTTCCAATTATGTTTTAATTTATCCCAAAACAAGATAACTTTACTGTAGTTTAATCTAAAGCAAGAAAACATCTCTGCTGGTAGATATTTTAACTTGTTAAAGGGGCGCTCCAGTCATTTATTGTAGCATTGCACTTCCATATAGTTGGTTAACTTGCAAGGAATATATTATAAAAGGAGTAGTCAAAATCAAAGCAGCAGAGACTGAGCTATAAAGACTTTACCGGATGGGTCGACTTCCACTGGATCCTACACCTCCCATAATGCAGCCAACAGTGCCTCTTCTTTAGACCCTCCCACCCACATCTTTCAAACTCCATATCCTGTCCAGGATAACCCGAATGACATCATCAGGGTTATTTTGTCAGACTTGACAAATATCAGAGTCACAGAAGATGTTGTATAACTGTAAATCTCCCCATTTAAACGCACCTTTATATGTCAAATTTAAGTTTCTCTATAAAGATAAATTGAAAATAAAATACATTAATAATAATATAACAATAATAATGATAATATACTAATATACTAAAAATTACCATTGCCAAGAAATACTAAGATTTCCCTGTTTGCTAATCTCCTGCCCCAGACAGTGATTCCCCAGCCGTAGGTGGGTGGTTTCCTGTTTTATTCTTCCAGAGCAAAGAGCAAAATTGTAAGAAACAACTTATTCAGTGTGTTTATCTGTTCAAACATAAGCTGCAAATGTTAGCATGAGAGCTTATTACCTACAGTAGTAACCAAGCAATACTTCCAAAGCCAAGGAGCATATCATTAAGTAACTGCATTATTTTGTGCCACACAGTTTAGAGTAGCAGTAGCAACTCGGTCGGTACCTGAGACATTGATCAAGTTGCAAAACTCATGGATCGGTTCTCATCTGCAGGAAGCCTTTCCCCCTTGTCCAGATGAAACATATTTGAAAATATAAAGCATAAATCTAAAATCTTTGTTGCTTCTCCAGGTAGGATTTTCTACAGTAAGCATGCATTTAGTCAATATGTGCACATTTAAGACACAGGCTCTCCTTTTAAAATGTGTCAGCTGGATATAAAGTCAGCTGGAGACATTTTTCAAGCAATTCACAATGTTCATTTACTGGCTAATTATAGCTGATTAAATCTCTTAGGGACAGTCAGCATTTCAGCCGACAAAATGAACACTGAGAAGCCTGCTTTTGTTGACGTGCGTGTGAAACTGAATGCCCATTATACAAATATAGGTATGAATTCATTAATTTTTAAAATGGCTGTGTTTAAAATTGTATTATACGCAAAGATGTCAATCCAGGTGGTAAGTATCAAAATGCATGCTGTCGTTTATTTATTATAATGACGACTCATCCAGGTCTCAGTGTCTCTTATTATGGGCCTCTGCATCTCAGTACAAAACTGTTATCAGCTCCAGTGCCCATGGGTGTACTTGGGTCCACTAAGCATGCCACTGATGGCAGCGCAGGGACCTTTCATTATCGCTACATCTCATAACATTACATAGAGCTAATATCACGAGGTGGTTCTGCCATACGGAGGTCATTTCAGCTTATGAACAACAGAAATATCTCAGTGGGACAGACGGATGAGGGACTCACTCTCATTATGATAAGCCGCGTGACATTTTGAATCAAATATGATATTTTTAATCTCGAGGTGATGCTGATGCGATTGCAGGGAAATGTACAGATAAACATTTTAGTTTTCTCTTAACTCAGAAAAGCTAGCATTAATTTGTGCAATGTATCTGTATGTAAATGTGTGTGTGTGTGTGTGTGTGTGTGTGTGTGTGTGTGTGTGTGTGTGTGTGTGTGTGTGTGTGTGTGTGTGTGTGTGTGTGTGTGTGTGTGTGTGTGTGTGTGTATGTGTGTGTGTGTGTGTGTCTGTCTTCCTGTAGGCATACCGCTTCCTTGCCATCAATAAGAAGCTGGGCTTGAGTGGGCGTCCAGAGAGGCCAGTGGGCTGCATCGGGACCTGCAAGGTATATGAATTTGTGCACACACATGCCCACACACACACCTACATACATGTGCATACTTACATGCACACACACACACGTGCAGTCCATGTTGCCCTTCTGCACAGGTCATGGGTGAGCACTATCACACCTCCCACATATTGATCTGCATAATTTTTCCCAGAGCTCTGAGGAGTCAACTCCTGCTCAGAAACTCAACTCGGAGAAGAATTTTTTTCTCTTCTTCAGACATACAATACGCATCAGTGAATGCAGAATAGATTTAGCTGATTCTGAGGACTAGCTGCATTTTAATATGCTAAGCTGCTGTCAGGCGGTCTGTCTGTGTGTCCGTATGTGTGCATCTTAAGTGGTTTTGGGAGTGTGTGTGTGTTTGTGTAGTCAATGTGTGCGTGCTAATATCTCTTGCTGATGTTTTTTTTGTAGCTTCTACCAAATGAAGGTCACAGCACGACCAAATAAGTTGAGCGATAGCAGCTTTCTCAAACAAAGGCATCGCCAAACAAATGAATCATGGCTTCCAACGCATTGCTAAGACAATATTATAATGGAACATTTATGGGGAAGATGGCAGACTGCCAGAGGACATTATCATCATCAGTGTGTCTGTATGGTTGTGGGTGTGTGGGTGTGTGTGTGTGGGTGTGTGGGTGTGGGTGGGTGTGTGTCTATGACAGTCTGTATGTGTGAAAGAGAGATTTGAACCAGTTGTGTGTATGTACTGTGTGTTACCAGGAGTGGTTGTGTAGCTCCCGTGTCCCCTCTATCTTAGGATTGATGGCTTGTTTTATACGCTGCCCAGAATAATGTATACGTGGCTACTTGTGAGCCATCCGTCTTCTAATGCAATGGTGTGGGTGTCTGTCTGTGTGTCTGTGTGTGTGTGTGTGTGTGTGTGTGTATGTATTTGTGTGCGTGTGCTTGTGTGTGTGTCTCCTTCTAGATTTATCGCATCCTGGGCAAGACAGTGGTGTGCTACCCAATAGTGTTTGATCTAAGTGACTTTTACTTGTCCCAGGATGTTATGCTGCTGATTGATGACATTAAGGTAAGTCAGGGTCACACTTCTGGGATTCAGCAGTGCCACGGGACCACAGCGAACCACTCTTTATGTTCTCGCAGAACTTAAATAACTAGTCACAGCCTGACATTTGTGAAAAGTGCTGCTTTGGTTTGATTGCATACTTTTCCTAAGCAACAATCTTCTACACTTTCTTTGATTGGCTGATCAAGTTGAGTTTGCAAACAAACAAAATGAAACTACAGCTTAGTCCCCTCTCGTTTGAATTTTTTTTTTTTGCGGCCTAAATAATAGGAATAGTGTGACATTTGGGGAAAATGCTGTCTTGATGAGAGTTAGACGAAAAGATTGATTCCACTCTCATACATGTTATCTGCACTAAAGATGAAGCTTGAGCCAGGAGACAGTTGGCTTATCTTAGCATAAACAGACTACAGGCAGGAGGAAACAGCTAGCTTAGCTGCTGAAATCTGCCGACCAGGATCTCTAAAACTCACTAATTAACGCTGTTTGTTAAATCCGCAGTTATTAGCGGTATCAATCCTCTCGTCTAACTACAGGCAAGAAAGCAAAAAAAGTCTATTTCCCAAAACGTCAAACCATATATCACTGATACCATACAATAGTGGATCAGCTTCCAGCCAGTTGGTGACTGTTTGAACTTTTCTAAACAGTTATGAAAAGCTTCTCTTTCCTGAGACTAATCTTCAGCTACAGGCCATCCTCAGGGCCCAGAGATTCACCTTCATACTGCAACGTCCCCAGTTCAGTTCAGTTCATGCTGCACGTCAGCTCCTCTGTCTTTCTCTGTATTTCCCGTCTGTCTTCTCCATCATCCGTCAGATTAAGGCAGAGACATTGTATTTATAGATGATGCAGCAGTGCTCTCTGGGCAAGAAAGTCACTATAAACATATTGTATGTAACGTAACATATTGCAAAATCTATTTTACAGTATTATTATTATGAGTTGTACACTTCATGAGTTATAATAAATAAGCCAGTGTCATATCTGTACAGGGCCTGACCACCTATTTTCATGCATACAGTATAAATGAAGTATTATTACACATTAAACATTTAATATGAACACATTCAAATATTGTTTCCATAAATCAGTTATTTTAAAACCTTTCCCAGCAATCTTTCATCACAACTGTTGATTCTATTCAAAGTGTAACAACTGTCAATTTTAGTTTAATTTATATTTTGAAGACAAATGAGTCTTGATCAAAAACATCAGATTCAAATTTAAACTTTAAATTGTTTACCAGGTGAGGAAATTGAACATTGTAATAATGGCGCTGATTCAGTTTCTGCTCAGAAACAGTGGAAATCTTGTGTGTCTGCGTGTTTGTGTGTGTGTGTGTGTGTGTGTGTGTGTCTGCAGAACGCCCTGCAATTCATCAAGCAGTGCTGGAAGATGCAGGGACGTCCTCTCTTCCTGGTTCTCATCCGCGAGGATAACATCAGGTAATATATACACTCCATAATAGCTTTTTTTAAATCTTTTTTTCTGTCTTCCTGTCCAATGATAGCTTCCTCACAGCATCCTTCCCTCTCCTATCTCTCCATACATCATCTTTTATCTCTTTTGTTCTGTCTGAAGCTCACGACAAAATGTCTTTACAGTCACACTGCAATTTAGTTCATTTTTTGAATCCAATATTTCTCTCTCTCTCTCTCTCTCTCTCTCTCTCTCTCTCTCTCTCTCTCTCTACACACCTCTCTTCCCTTCTATGTGTACTATTTATCTTTATAGCAGGAAGGTGCTACTGTATGTGCTTGCTGATTGGACGATAATGTTTCTCATTTGTATCACTATAGCTTGGCTGGTGGGCTGATTACGGCGGTATTGACCATTATCCAAGGAGCCATATGTTAAATGTGCTACAAACGCTAAAACAGCCACACTGCAGCATCTGGAATGAGTCAGTGGGTTCTCACAGAGGCGACTCAATAGTCATTAGTTTGCTATTGATCGGGATGATGACCTGTATAGATAGCGACAGCAGACTGAATAAAGCAGTGAGGGTTTGGTTGAAGAGTGCTGATTTATTCAGAAGTTTCAGCTGCGATTATTTCATACTGATACTGTTAGGTGTAATACACTGTGTGGAATATAATAGTTTAGAGAAACGATGGCAGGAAAAGGAACAAAAAAAACATTGTACCCTTTGTCTCACCAGGGGGAGCCGCTTCAACCCAGTCTTGGACATGCTGGCATCTTTCAAGAAAGGCAGCATTGGAGGGGTCAAAGTTCATGTCGACAGACTTCAGGTTTGTGGATCCAATGAATGAAATGAGGTACATAATTAATGTAGTCTTTCATTCAGCCATTGATAATCACCTTGCATATCAGGGATGCAAATTTTAGTGGAATGTCCTTAATGGATTTTTCGTGTTTCCATTCAGTAGCTGGATAATGACACAAGTGCGAGTTTTCCATAACGAAGGCGAAAAAATCTAAATGAATTAGAGTTTCATCAATAAAATAACATAATTTAAATTCTAATAACAAATCAATGGCTTGTTCTGATGTCGTATTGTCACTATTCAAAAATACTAAATATATCAAATGACACACGACTCATTTGTCCCATTTTCCTTGTATCTACAAAAACACCTGCAGCCTTCAACCACACACAACCCTTTGCAAGTAAACATGAAATATCTCACACCAGTCTTGCAAGACAACAGACTTCAGTCTTCCTGATTTTATGTAAGATTATAAGCACACCTTCCCTCAGTGGTCAGGGTGAGTTGAGCACTGTTGGCTCAGTTTTGTAGTCGTCCAGCTGCTGAAAACTGATGCTCAGGTAGGAGAAATGTCTCTAGAGCGCACATATACTCTAGCACCAACTTTATGTGCAGAGGCATATGCATAAACTTTTTACTTCCTCCAATATAATGGATTTTAATTGATTCAGTTTTACACAGCAGTTTAGTGTTAATAGAAGAATCAGTGACATCCCTGCTTAATGTACATTTTCAAATATTTTGTATTATAATATTACTGTATATTTCTCCATCACAACTACAATCAGACAGTGGTTTCAGCTTTCATCATCTTTGAGCTATATTTCATATCAAGAACCAGTATCTGTCTTTGTGCTTTTTTATTGAACAGTCGTACATTTTACTGAGAGGATCAATGGTGTTAGAACATTCTGATCTATACAAGTGAACCACTGAACCAGTGTTGCCATTATTGTTTGCACAGTTTTGATTGTTTGCATATTGTGAAGGGTTTTCTTAAGGTGCCTGTCGGAGGAGAATATGCCACCTGCTCTCTTCTGTTGGATAATACCGCTGTCTCTGAAATGAAAATTGGCTTAATATTACAAATGATTCAATAAATTGTGTTTCAGGGCTTCATCTCTTTCTTTGATAACAAACAAAAATTTCCCCAGTTCTTAATCTGAAGTCCCTCCTCATTTCAATAGCAACACCAGTGTTTATCTGTACGTCGACCTTGGTCTGTCGGATTCAATTTTTAAGGCAGTCTGTTTTTGTTTGTCTTGGAAAGGCGGAGCTGGCTGGAGCCTGGACTGTTTTTAGAAAGAGATGGGAACCATTGGGGTGAAGCTTTTTGTGATTTGTAAACAAATACATTGGAGTGACTTGAACAACGAATTAAATAGTACTGTAAATGAATAGGTTAGAAGTCCAAACCGCCAATGCATCTTTTGACCTAATGAGAAATCTGAATGGGACACGTTTCAGTTGACATTACTGGGTGATACCATATTTGTGCCATGAGGGCATAAATGAAGCAAGTATATTAAGTGTGCTATGAAAGATGCTATGAAAGCCAGAGTCCTGCAGAGAAGCAGTCAGACAGGGCTCAGTACACATTGCAATGCCTCCTAAAAGCTTGCAAAGAGGGAAGAAACTTCAAATCACATTTAAAAATAAAATACCACAAAAAACGAAAGGAAAAAAATCACATTGTCACACGGCTTCACTTGCTCGATTTTGCATTCATGACTGGTAATAATTCTGTTCAGCTGTTAATTCATTGCAGTTTCATCAGGACGATTGCTCTCCAAGCCAGTGGACGGGCCATGAAAACATGACACCAAAGTTCTTTAAGTCAGGAGAGTGAGGAGGAAGAGATGCAGAGAACTGAAAAGCTGTCAAAGACAGAAAATGTCAGCAGCTGCTGTTCCCAGTGCACCAGGAGCACAGACATATAATTGACATTTGTGAGGCATGTAAGCACTGATATGGCAATTTGTGCTGAACTCGTGATTTTATTTCATCAGTCTCACTGCAGTTCACCACGAGTTACCCTACAGGTCAATGTCAGTATTATCAGTTATGTGTATGTTTGACAAATAAACATATTAAATGTATTATTTTATCCAAATCATTGCTAAAACAATGAATTTACAAAATGTTAACAACATTTTATTATATTATTACTATTATGTCTTCATTTTTTTTTAAATCACACTACATAGGACATTTTTAAACCACGCATTTAAACTTGATGTAAGCTATTTTTGCTCCTGAAGTACAAAAGGAAGAATGAAAACAATTATTTGTGTTAATCGAAACCAAGATATCGACCCCTGATTTTTTCATAGTTTGTGCATCAGAGGGTTAAAGCTTCTATAATCAATATTTTTATACATTTTAATCTATTTTATATAATTTTAACAATTGATCACATGACCACCTGTAATGTAAAGGGGTCATTCACAGTGATAGACCCACAGAGAATAATTACCTGGCTCTGCAGTTTCCCTCAGCCCTTAGCATCTTTTAGTTCATTGTTTTGGTTTTGCAATAACTTTAATGTCTGGTTCAGTCTCGCCACTCTCAACAACCTTGTTTCCAACAGCAGCAGGAAAAAGAGCTCTAAAACCCAAATGCAAGTCCCTCATATTCAACAATATGTTATCTATATTAAAATGGTCATTTTGATTGTAGCATTGCATTTCTGTTCTTTACTATGCTGTCTGCTTTGTTCACTTCATATGTGAAGATGCTTCCTCTGTAAAATTTCACTCTCAGCTGTGTTCATGAATTTAAACATGAACAGTTTACCGCAAATAATTATGAGTTTTAATAGAGACTGTATTGGGTTAACACAACAGATCCTCATGACGGCAAAGAAAATAAAGCCAAGCCGAGGTAGAACTAGAATTATTCTCAAAACTTTAACCAACTGCTTTGTCAAACTTATGACAGGTTTTCCAGCCTCAGCTTCTCTCCCAGAGTGTTTGTGGTGTTCAGCAGAGACTTACTCATATGATTTTTTTTTTTGCTTTAAACGTCTTCCTTCCATTTGCCTGTTTGCTATTCACTTCACAACTAACACCTACAGCTTTGAAACACTCCCCCTCTTCATCATCTCATTGTTATGGGGAGCAGGATTGCTGCTCTCCTATACGCCTCTTATTTTTGTTTTTGGAGTCGACTTCAGTTGGAATGGTTAATATCACATTTAGACCACAGGAGCAAGTCATATTGAACTGTGCTCTTTATTCCTGCACAGCTGTGCTTTTAAAATACGCAAACTTTTATCATCACATTACTGTGTTAGACACTCACTTGCTACTGCAGCCATGCACATTTGGATCACTCGAAATGGTGAACTTAGTTCACACTCTACTACTGTGTGTTTTAATTTGTTATGAACTGCATTATTCAGACCTCCCCTTGGTGATTTATACAACACTGTCTCATCACCTCATCTGGTTTTGTGCCTTTAGAGTATGATTTCCTCATACGTTTCTTTACACTGTGGCATCTCTTGTATATTGCAGCCTTACTGACAGAATAAATCATTAAATATTTATTTTTCTCATCAACCTTTTAGACCCTGATATCTGGAGCAGTGGTGGAGCAGTTGGACTTCCTGCGTGTTAATGAGGCAGAGTAAGAATTTTCTCTAGTCTTTAGGCTTGATTTGTCAGAGGTCAGTGTTTTTGCCCCTGTCATAATTGCTAAACTGCAGTACAACTGACATGGATACTTGATTTGACATTTTTTCAGGATCAATAAATCAGTTTAGCGTAACATAACAAAATGTCAAAGCAACAATGCCGGCATTATTTTGTTTGTTGCTTCAAATGTGAAATGTTGCAAGTGGGAATATCAAGCAGTGAAAAAAAAAAAATGCATATTGCATCAACTTTCTACATACAACTAGCACCCACAGTGTAACGTGCCTTTGTGTGTGTGTGCATAGGATCTCAGAGTTTAAGAGCTTTGAGGAGCTGGAGCTGCCCAAACACTCCAAGGTGAAGAGACAGACAAGCACGCCCAACGCCTCAGACCTGGAGCAGCAGCCAGAGATCAGTGAGGAGGAGTGGCTGCACAAGCCCACCCAAGAGATCATCCAGAAGTTCCACGTGAGTTGAGAGTAAAGGGCCCACAAATACATACTGAGATTAAAAACTGCCATCTAATTAGAAAATGTGATCTAGTTAGAGGAGCAAAAAGAAATTATAAGTAAATACATAAAACAGTGCGAAAAGTGCCTGGTTATACTAATCAAATGGTAAGATTTCTCCATTGTAAACTGTGGCTAAAATAACCATAACCATCCAATAACCTCCATAATACTCAAAATTGATTCTTAATAATCAACACCAAGGAACAAATCCATTTCCAGCCAGTCCACCTGTCTCCTGTCATCTGTGAAAGGTTTGCTTCATTATTTGTGTGAGAGAAAAACTCACCGTTCCCTCCTGTTGATTCATTGACATACCACACTCTCATCAAGGCTCACTTGTCCACCTGTCTCCTGTTCCATTATAGCAACTTATTAATTTGTTCAAACATTTCTCCTCATGCCCAGGTTTTGCCTGTGCATAATAACCAACAAACTCTCTTCACTCTGGCTCTGTATCTGAATATTTTAAACTTTCAAGGGCTCATCTACGTTCAAAGAATTGAAACCTCAGCCTACAAATTAACTGCAGCTGTGATTTGTTCTCTATGAGAGTCTACATAAAAGTCTGAAAAGCCATATCTACATCATTCATGAATGAACATTGCTTTTTATGTACATTACGTCTCACTCTCTTCACCGTTTTGCTTTTGTCATGTAGATCTAATTTATTTAAGCATATTAGCGGCCATATAGAAGCCGACCATGATAAGCAAATACGTTTAAAAGTTATCTTAACCAAATAATTGACGCCAACCTTGCCCTGACATGACTAAGAATGCTTTCTTTTCTTTTCCGTATTTTACACACATCGAGGTAGCTGTCAAATTGAAATGAGGCAACACTATAAAAACCTGTTTGCTTTTATGCATAACGATGTGTTGTATGCATGACTAAGCTCATGTTTGTGTGTGTCTGTGTGTGTATCACTGTCCAGGACTCCAACTGCTTGGCCAGTCAGGCTCAGCTTGCAGGAATCCTTCTTCGGAGAGAAGGACCAGACTTTCTTGCCAAAGATGGTAAGCACACAGTCACACAGAGTGAGTGAGCACCTGAGTGTGTTGAAACCAGAAGATTTCCTCATTACAATACAAAGGAAATGTGATCATCAGAAGCGTTAGTAGCTTTGCTACTATTAACTATTCACTATCTCTCCACTTAATTTGTTTTGTCGCAGTCACCAGTCCTTTTTAATCAGTTACAGGTCTTTAGGATACAATCATGCCATTTGAATTTGTAGTGACTGCTTTGTTTGTATATGTCTTTATGATGTTTTTAAATGGCTAAACACAAAAACATGTTTGTGATTCCAGAGAACCTGATGGAGGAACTGGAGAGAATCTACAGACAAGCAGGCAGCAGGAAGCTTTGGTCTGATATTCTCACACACACACACACACACACACACACACACACAGACTCACACACACACACACACACACACACACACACACACACACACACACACACACACACAAATACATTGCATAGAGTTACTTCATTTGTTGCGCTTTCATTATGATTATTCAAGATCTGTTTGTGTGCAGATATAAAGAGGATTATCATAGGTGTCCAAATCTCAAAAACTCTTGAGATGTGTTCAGGGACAGTCATACATCTTGTATTTTGTTATGTTGACCATTGATCTCATTATTAGTCATTAGTTATTGACTTAGTGTGAATTAAAAGGAGCTTTGGAGCTCATACTAGAAAACTGCATGAGATGTTAAAATGTTGCTTCATATTTCTTTTGGGGTCCCCTTAACCAAATGTTTTGTTTCTATATCTGTGCTCTTTCCCTCATTTGTCGTCACATAATCCTCTCTCTTTCAAATAACTGTTATTTAATGTGGCGGAACTGCAGGCTGGCAGTGCGCCAATCTGCTACCATTATCAAGAGGTTCGCCAGCTCCATAGCTCCTCACATCACCACAATTCTGGTGCATGGGAAACAGGTAATGTTCAGGTGGAGATAGACTGAAGACACTGCATGTTTTCGCCCAGTTAGCTGGCTAGCTAGCTAGCTGCCTTGAGAGCTGTGTGAGGTTCAGCCGATCCCATTTTGAATTTCCTCGTAACCAGGGTGTCGACAAAGAAAGTCAGAAATTTTTTTTGTTCCAAATTCAGTGTTTGGATTTGTGACGCAAATATTTCAAAAAGTCATTATTTCTGCTCTGCTATTAGCTCATGTAAAGGAGTAGCTAAATTAAAGTTGATACTTAAATTAAGTGTATGTCCTACATTTCCTGGAAGGACGAAGAATAAAAATAATTTGAATCAATAACTGTGTAAAATACATTTATTGAATAAAAAGATACCAGATCAGTCAATGCTGACTGTACTCTAATTTACACTAATATGCTAACACACTAATTTTTAAATAAATATCAGGCTAGTCCCACATTTTGCTTTTAAATGGATGTTAAAAAATGTAATTTAACTTCTCACAGTGATATTTAACTGACCAGTAGACACCCTGGTAAAAGGTGGTGTAATGCAGTAGAAGGCTAGTATCTTGCTAAAATTTTAACCAAGCTAATGCTATTTGTGGTTATACCACCAAGTTTAGCATAAGAAGATGGCTACCTCTCACACTGTCATGAGTTTGACCAAGCTAGTAGGCACCTTGACTCAGATGTGTACAGGAGCTTGTCATCAGTGTTTGCTTTCTCTCTCTATTAACTATCACAGACGCTGGAGCCTCGTTTCTGCTGTTCCGTTCTTCTGCAGCGTCACCCACCGCTCTGAGGCTGGCTGTATACTTCAAATGAAATAGTATTTGGTTGTTAGATATGATGCTGTAAACGCATTTACACTCACTGTCACTCCAGGTCTGTCTCATCCGTGCTTAGATGGCAGAGCTTGGTAGTTGCTTTGGGAGTAGACACTGCTCATGAATCCATCATGACAAAAGTAGAAAGTAGTATTAGAACAAGTGTAACTGCATAGAAGTACAATGACAAAGTGTAAGTTTACACATTTAGATTATGGTTGCTACACTGTCATCTTTTCAATCTTAAAGCTGTTATAAAAGTTGGGACCTAGACTCTAGTTTTGTTTGCATCTCCTCATCTTGAATATTCAGCTTTCTGAAAGCAAGAACAGATGTGAATCTATGAATAATGTTAACTGATATGTTTGGCCGCTCCAGTCAAACAAAAAATCTTTCTCTTTTTGATCTTTGATTGCAAAGTTGCCAAATTTCCATTTTGTTTGTGGTATATTGCCGGCCTGACTCACTGTCAGTGGTTGTCCCATGTTTAGTGGTCAGTGTTTTGTGTCCATTGGTATGATTTCAATTTGTGTCAAGTTGACTGACATGACAGCTTTTATTGTACGTTGTTTTATTGATTTAAAGGATTTTTACATAGAGAAATTTGATTATGCTGTAGTAGAGGGGAAAAAAAGCCTGGAGGCTAATTTTCAACTTGCTGGGAAATAGCATCAATACTCAGTTCAATTTACTTTCTCATTTACCTAACATGGGCCAGGAAGTGAAGCTTGAAATAGGTTTCCCAACAAAGCATCGGTGGATTGACACCACATCATGCCTTCCAAACATTAAAGCTTTGTTGTCTTTTTATTCATTGTGCTCAAGATGTGCCTTTGTATTTCCACAGGTTTAAGCACTGAATACCTTCTCGCTCTCACACACACACACACAAAAAACAAGTTGTGTTGTTGAGTAGTCCTCAGCATATAATACGAGGAGGTTGTTTTTCAGCTCATTATATTCATGACCCCCGTTAGTGAAATTACTTCATTCCTTCACTGCTTCTGTGACTCCATGTGTGTGTCTATAGCAACCCTGGCTGTGAGCTACTATGTGAAGATAACCATAGTTAATGTGCGCTGCTTTTTCCTCATAGGATTCCTGCAGGCAAGAGGAGGTAGTTTGAAGGCGGCAGTGACTCTTGTGAATGATGAATTCTGAAATTAGTGAACATTAAAATATTTTGTGGAAAGCCAACATCTTTTTATTTCAGGATTCAGATACAAATTAGTTAATTAAGAATTATACAAATAAATACATATTTAATCTAAAAATTGATGTATTGGCTTTGGTTTTGTAAAGTAATCATTTATGGATTTTGTTTTCATTTTCATTCTGATGTTTGGATTCTTTGTTAATTGAATTGCTAAAATGAGATAAGAGATGCAACTAGCAGCCCTTTTTTGCCCTTCTTTTATCATGTTAATGAGCTTTTTTAGATATTTTTTAATATTGTTTAATCAAATATTTGAGGAATGGCAATGATCTTTAATTGAAAGTATATTTTATTCCAATGTTGACATTTACAGCACATGTACCTCATATAATACATGCTCTATTGCGGCTGCAGTAAAGTAGTGGAGTTGGCTCCTCTGCCTTTTATTACAAATGAACCAAAATAGATGTTAAAGTCGTAGCTGCTGGTTGTTATCTGTGACAATGTCAAGACTGTTCTTGTGTCTTTTCGCCCACTAGGTCTGTTGTCCGCCTTGCTGCCAGTCTCTTAACTAAGCTAGTGGACAGCCTTGCCCCCAGTATTACTAGTGTTTTAGTACATGGCAAGCAGGTAAGTGGACACAGAGTCAGCAGGGCCTGGGTAGTAACTATCCCTTCTGTAAAATTATTTTGGGTCATATTTAGGAAAACGGCATGTCCAGACCATGATTTTAATGTTCACTGATTATTAAAATGAAATTATATATGATTATTAGCTCCTCATGCTGTCATCCTATGGCGAGCTGCATGCTTATGTTCCCCATCACAGCTCACCTCCATTGTGTGTGTATGTATGTGTGTGTGTGTGTATGTGTGTGTGTGTGTGTGTTTCCCTGAGCTGTAGTTGTAGTGAGGCTGCGAGCATGACCTGCATGACCACTAGAGTCCCAATATGCACCGTGTCCATGTGTCTAGACACACTCCATGAGCCGATTGATATATTGTGACCCGAGACTTTGTCTGATGCCACTCCTTCATCCAACTTATCACTGGATGAGTTTCAGCGCATCATTTCCTGTCAAGTGTTATTCAGAGATTAGCCTCCTCTCAAGAGTGTCAGTTATCTCGCCTCATTTTTACCCTTCTGAACAGTTTTAGGCATTTCATTATGCCGAAGTAGCTCAAGGTGTGAATCTGCATATAGATTGCCTACCGGAGGGAATGCTCCCCTCGACATGATTGGAAAAGCTGATTTAAAATTTGAGACGACTGTCTCCCTCTGCTTACAATAACAGCTCAGTTGGAAGAAATAAGAGGCACCACCCCATTTTAGTCAATTCTGATTCAAGTTTGATGCTGGATTTCATCAGCTGAAGGCAAGGATAAAAGTGTGTCCTCTCATCAGGAAGATTGCTGAGGTGTAATTTTCATGAGATGGCTTTCAGAAGGAACAAAATACAAAAGAGTAATCTTGGGATCAGTCATTTTTTCCTACTCACTTTTATGTGACTCTGGGAGAGGAGGCCAATTTCAGAGTTCTGGAACAAAGATACTTGTAGAGATTGTACCTTGGAGGAAGTACATGTGCACATGCAAGTCTGCACATGTACACGTGTCTGTGCACCTGCACTGCACAAACAGAACAATTGTGATGTGCTGCTTTTGACTTTCTAACTGTATCTGGGTTTGGTGTGTGCTCTTTTTCCCCTGTGTGTGCCTGTAACTACCAGGTGACCCTCGGCCTATTCGGGCATGAGGAGGAGGTGATCTCCAACCCACTGTCGCCAGGGGTGATCCAGGGAATCATCTACAGCAAGTGCTCCCCTCAGGGTGGGGAGCGGGAGGCTGTCCTTCAGCAGGAGCTGGTCATCCACATCGGATGGATTATCTCCAACAACCCAGAGCTGTTCAGCGGCATGATCAAGATCAGAATCGGGTAGGACAGTCAGGTCGCAGTGGCGCCTAACAACTCTTGCACGTTTAGTCAAGCAAGGTGGATGTTCTATTCCCTAGTGTTCAGACCGCTCAACAAAACATGAAGCAACCAACATATATGAGCATCAACCCAGACTGCAGTTTTCTCTCAGTCTATTTTATTCTGTTACACAATCAAAACATCAGGAATTTGTAGCTGTCAAATAGTGTAGTGTCCATACCAATGACCCCTGAAGTTGTTTTTTTACTCTAAATGAACGGCATTGCAGCTGCAGACTGACACTTTTTACAATTTGATTGGATCTCTTCAGACATTGGTCTGAGAACATTGTCAGGAAAATCAAAACACAAGGCTGGAAGAAGTGTTATTGTGAGGTTATGTACATTGTTGCATTTAAACTATGAACTATTCATTTCTAAACAAAAAAATTCAGTTCCATCAGCCACGTCGGACAAATATCTGTACCGTTTTCAGCTAAATAATCCTAACACTGTGAAGCAATGCTGGAAACAAGGGACACATGGAAGCATTTTGAACATATTAATCCTTGTGACCACCTTAAAGTCACAGTTAAATGAGCGAGTGTGTCACTGTGGATCTCCAGATGGATCGTCCAGGCCATGAAACATGAGCTGAAGATCCGGGCAGGAGACATGCCCCCCCAGGATATCTACCAGCTCTCCCCCAGCGACATCAAGCAGCTCCTGCTGGACGTCCTGCAGCCGCAGCACACCGGCAGGTACTCTTCAAACACACATTCACTCTATCAATCCGTGCTCTCTCATCCCTTTCATCTCACAAACCTGTCTTTGAAGACAATATGTCTTTATCTTAATGCTTTTACTTGATGTATAATCTTTTTTGTTTTAATTGTTTTATCTTCGGCGCTGTGTTGTCTACATCCATATCTTATTATCTGCAGCTGCCGCAACCCAATTTCCCCACGGGAATTATTAAAGTTATATCTTATCTCATCTAATCTAACACACATTGACTCATAGACAATTTCCTCTAGCACGCTGGCTATCAACATTGTATTTCCCCTGTCTCTAAGAACTGGTTCAACAGTTTCACCCTGGTTTCGCCTCAGGTCTTGGCTGAACCGGCGTCAGATCGATGGCTCTCTGAACAGGACCCCTCTGGGATTTTATGATCGTGTGTGGCAGATCCTGGAGAGGACGCCCAACGGTATCATGGTGGCTGGGACGCACCTCCCACAGGTACCTGCCTCCCCTGACACTGCAGCAGGATAAATTCTTTGACCAACACTGGTTAAAGGTGATACCGTGTGGTACTCTACAAACAGTTACAGCTATATAAACCTGTATGACAGTGACATGGGTCTTGCAGACACAGATCTCCATGTTTTATTGTGTCTTTTAAAGACTAAGACTGAGTGTTGCTCCCATTTATGAGTTGGTTTCAAGTACTTGTGACAGTGTCTTCCCAAATACTTTTTCCAGCAAATGTGGAACAAATGCACAAAATCTGGTTTCTTCTCATTCTTGCAGAATGAACTTGCACTGATGAATTTTGATTTTACCTCATCAATTTAAATGTGTCTCCATTGAACATGAAAATATATGTTTGTCTTTGAGTAGGATACGTTGGTTCTTTGAGTGGGGGGGGGGCTATCAAAAAAATTGGCAAAGTTTTTCATTTGATTATTTTTTATCATCATAATTATTTATGATTGGATTCAATGCTCAGTGATGTCATTGATGTTCTTTCTTTCTGATGATATCAATCTTGTTCACCGGAGACATTTTACATATCATTGTAGGAAAATCCCAGGTGTAAATACTAAAATGAATGATGGCTGAATTCCATTGTGTTGCACTTTGAAGGTTCTTGTAATGTGCATGTTGGCTGATGGTCACACTGTCATGGCTTACTGGATCTGTGTCTTGAATCACTCATTCACTACTCACTATTTAACAGACACTCAGTTCCAGACACGTATAAATCCCACTTTGTTAATGTTATTAGTAACACCTGTGCTTTTCCTACAATTGGCTGGTTGTTCATTGCTACATCTATTTGTCCATAAGTTTAGATGGAATGATATTTATTAATAGAATAGTGTAGAACTTAACTGATCCTGCATCCTCAGAAACATTAAGGTGAAGAAAGATAGATGATGTGAGCAGAATTTGTTAAAGACAGTTTAGATTTGGTTCATGTACATATTATGATTTAATTAGCTACTTCCCAGAAAACCAGTTCAGATTACACTCACTGAGCACTTTATTAGGACCACAGTACTAATACTGGGTAAGACCTCGGTTCTTCGCAGCATAGATTCCAGAAAATGTTGGAAACCTTTGAGATCCTGCTCCATGTTGACATGACTGCATCACATCATTTCTGCAGATTTGTCAGCTGCACATTGATGCTGCCAATCCCCTGTTCTACCGCATCACAAAAGTGACAGGGAGGCCACTGGAGTTCACAGAACTCACTGTCATGTTTATGAAACCAGTTTGAGACGACTTTTGCTTTGTGACATGGAGCATTATCCCGCTGAAAGTAGCAAGCTCTGACGTTCAAATGATGATTGATTGGTATTAAGGGGTGCAAAGCGTATCAACAAAATACTTCCCACACCATTACACCACCACCAGCCTGGATCGGTGACACAAGGCAGGTCCATAGATTCATGCGATTGATGCCAAATTCTGACCTGACCATCTGCCGCCTCGGCAGAAATCCGTATCCTACGTTTTTCCAGACTTCAACTGCTCAGTTTTGAAGAGCCTGTGCCCACTGCAGCCTCAGATTTCTGTTCTTGGCTGACAGGAGAGGAACCTGACGTTTTCTTCTGCTAGTCCATCTACCTCAAGGTTCAACGTGTAATTCATTCTGAGATGTTTTTCCTGTTCAACACAGTTGTAAAGAGCGCTTATCTGGGTTATAGTATTCTTTCTGTCAGCTCCAACCAGTCTGGTCATTCTCCCCTGACCTCTCTCATCAGCACTGTGTTTCGGTCTGCAGAACTGCTGCTCACTGGATGTTTTTTGTTTTTCACACCATTCTGAGTAAAAACAGACTCCTTGGAGATCAACAGTTTCAGACACACTCAAACCGCCCGTCTAAAACCAACTATCATCCCACGGTTAAAGTCACTGAGTCACATAGGATGTCCACAGTGACCATCAATTACAACAACCAGCAGCTGACATGGCTTTTTTTTTATTGTCTCTCTGTAGCAACCCACACTGTCTGACATGACCATGTACGAGATGAACTTCTCTCTGCTGGTGGAGGAGACGCTGAAGAACATTGTCCTGCCTGAGTACAGACAAATCATAGTCGAGGTAAACAGACCCAATGGCACCAGAGTGCACAGAAGGAACAGAATCAACAGGAAGATAGCTTAAATCAGAATACTGTAGAAGTGTATGGATTTTTGTATGGATTCTAGCAAAGTCTAGCAATGTCTGTTTGGTTTAAAGTTAAATTTAAGATTCCTTGTAATTAAAAAAAAACTGGTTTAGACCTTTGAAAATTCTATTGCTGATATTGTTGTTGTTTTGTTTGTAGTTTCTGACAGCTGTGCTATGTCTCCACTGTTTGAGCAGTTGCTGATGGTAGTGTCCATTGTGCTGGAGAGAAACCCAGAGCTTGAGTTTGGCGACAAAGTGGATCTGGACAGTCTGGTGAAGGAAGCCTTCCATGATTTCCAGAGGGATCGCATCTGCTTTGAAGGCAAAGAGAAACAGGTAGGAGGTTTTTCCTCGAAGCTGTCAGGTTAACTGATATTATAACATTTTCTCCTTTGAACGCGACCTGTCTACCACAAAATTATCTCATCACCTTTCTAAATTGATGTGCTACCAAACTGAACCGAGCTTCCGTTCCGGCTATACACCGATAATTTAGCTAAAGGTTAGTTTAATTAAATGGTGTTTAAAAGGCTAGCACTGCTATTTTCCAATTCAGTAGAGCCTTATTAGATTTGTGAGATTTAATCCTTCCAGGATGTATAGCATCAAATTCTCAAAGAGCAGATTCATACCTGCAGACTCATCATCAATCATTTACTACTAAACGGCACTTTTTAAAATTCTTAAAGACATACAATTTATCTAAGATGATGTTTCCTCGTGGGTGCCTCTGTTTTGTTTGTCCCAGGATAATATGGAGGCTTTCTACAACACACCAGCAGTGGGAAAGAGAGGCACCTCCAGCTATCTCACCAAGGCTGTCATGATCCAGTTGCTGCAAGGGGATGTCAAGCCCTGCAAGGACGACCCGTGCTCTGTTAGTTAGATTTACAATGCTGTGACCCCTAATCCCAGCCCACTGCAGTGTAGTCATCAAATGGCAAGGACCACTGAGTATCCATCAAATGTATTCAGAAGATAAACTCTAACCTCTCCAATCCTCCCTCGGCACATTACCCACTCCACCACTTTTGCCTCAACAGCAGCAGAGGCTTCAGCTGTCGTACATTAGTACATCTGTGGTTTGCTCCAGGCATTAAAATTCATCCACCAGTCATGCTTAAAAACAAAATGTTAATCATTGGGGAAAAAACTCATCGTATAACCAAGAGTCTAATTTGTTTTATTTATACATATCTTCTGAATCCCAGCAGTATTTCTTATTTAAGTAAAGATTTTAATAGCATTATTTTGAATACCTTTGACATAACTAGCTAATATTGATACACTGTTCTCCTACCCTTTATCTGGATGCCATAGATTAGCCTGTGTGCACTGTGTTCCTAGGGTTATTATACTGTAATATCTCAGTGGCAGAACCTCACTATACCTCTACACACCTTTTTGTTGTTGAGTTCAGTCTCCTGACTGTGTTGTGTGTTCAAATTGAGGTTTTAATAATGTCATTAATAACCATTTGCCAGTTAGCTAGTTAATCACTGTTACTTTATCTTTCTCCAATGATAAGTTTTTTTCCTAAAAACCATCACAATAAAAACGAATTGAAGGAGAAACCACGCAGGCGATAATAGTTTTAAGTTAGCATAAAAACTGAAATGGGGAAACAGCTAGTCTGGTTCTGCAAAGATAAAAAGGGATGTTAAGTTAAACGAGCTGCAAAAGCATACAGATGAGAGTGGTATCAATCTTCTGATCAAATTTTCTGTAAGAAAGTGGATCAGCATGCTTCCCAAAATGTCAAACTCTTTCTTTCATTTTTAGGTGTTGGTGTTGCTTAGAAATCCATTTGAAATGTTCTGTGTTCTGGCTGTCAGGTCTTTAGAAATAATGCCGCTATGAACCAGGCTCAGACGTAACTGCTCATACCTCACTAGCAATAACCTACATAGCAATTTAATGTGCGAGAGTGAATCAGTCAGAACCAGGTCATATTGTTTCATGAGAGATGTTGGTGCACTTGGCTCCCAGAGGGGCCTGAAGCATGTGCAGCTTATTACCTGAAACAGACAGTGGTTGATTCTTGCATTATTTCATATGATTTCTAAAAAATACCTGTATGGATCTTCATCAAAACACAGCTTGGCCTTGTAAACCTCAGTCAAAGTATCTGCAGGCATTAGAGGGTTTGAGAACCACTGCATTTTTATTTTATTATTTAGAGTTATTATTCTGCTCAAAGTACATACGTGTCAGAGGTAGGTGTTTGTTGTACTGTGTTGAGTTTCTCTGATAGAAACGCTGTGTCCTCTTTGCATGCACAGTCTGCTGCATGACAATAGGTACTGTTTTGCCATAACCATCTTGAGGGTTTCTCTGAATGTTTTAGGTTTATGAGAGGTCTGTTTTGTGCAATAGGGCTCTGCGTGACAGCGCCTGCTGCTTGGGAGCGAGGACCCTGTTTTGTTGAATGTGGGCAACAGAAAAGACTGCTGTATTCTTAGATAGAGATGATGAAAGATTGACTCTGACTTATTTTAAAGCGTGCCTCTCTGAATATCATCACTGTGATCAATCTTCCCCACCTTGCCGCTGTGTGTGTGTGTGTGTGTGACAAGGAGTATTTTAAACTCAGAACTGTAGGTTCAAAGAATAAAGTTATCATGGAAACTACAGAAATGTGTCACTTTACTTTACTATCAGCTTCAGAAACTGTATTTGTGAATGTGTATGTAAATAAGCGCAGTTTCCATCATGCAGCTACTTCAGGAACACCTTCCCCTCCACCTTTTATTCCACAGTTATGTGACTATTAAATACAGACATATAATTACTTCACATAAAGGAAAAAATCTCTTGTTCCTCGCCTAAAACTGCAGCAGAAATGGAGCGTGACTGCCACAGCCCTGTGGGGTGTGTTTGGCATTTGTATCGGATCCTACCAGTTACACCCACTTATGTTGCCTGAACCCCTTATCAATCTGCATCTCACCACCGAGGCCACGTGTGCTGTCTGCAACTCTGACTAACTGACTGGCAGAGAGAGGTGGGCGAGAGCCAGAGGAGATGATAAATGAGCTCTGCCTCGCACTCAATATATTCAAATCAACCTGCACGCTGGTGAAAGGAGCTCTTGCCTGTCTTGTTGAATAAATCTCTTCTTTACCGAGACGAATCCTAAAGAAATTTTCTTTCTCTCAACATTAAGCAGGGGATCTGAAAAATACTTTAAGTTGTTTTTATATCTATGTTTTCTTTTACTTTTGTATCATGTTTTCTTGTTATTTTAGAGATTTCCTCTCAAACAGTAAAGATCCTTAAAGGGAAATTCCACTAATTTTACACATAGAAGTCAGTTACTAGTCATGGGCAGTACTGTTTATACTGTGAAAACAGTATAATGTCTGCTGTTGCTCTGAAAGAGGGAACTCTGGGTAAATAACCCTCACTGATGTTCAATGAAAAAAACTTCCAGTGTTTTTGGAGCGTGAGCCATTGATTGATTGATTGATTGATTGATTGATTGATTGATTGATTGATTGATTGACTTTATTGTCCACCTCATTGGAAATTTGTCTTTGGCTTCTCCCAAAGTACAGTAAGAAGTACATACACTCCACATAACACAACACACCATTAAAAACATTCAGCATTAGTGCAACTGAGCAGAGAGCAGCAGAAAGGTTATATAAATACAAGACAGCAAAACTTGTAAAATAACAGGTGTTCCCTGATGCAGTCATGTTGTGTTCAATGCCTGTATGGTGTAGGGAATAAAAGACTTCTTGTATATGTTCCGGTTGGCCCTTGAGGCCCTGAATCCACAGCCAAACTGAAGCAGCAAAGTCTGGACGTCTTGGCCTCTGCTGCTTAGATTGTGACCGTTCCTTTTTTTAAAAAAAAATATATCATCTGGTCCCTTTCATTAAAGGGAAGTAAAAAAAAAAAGCCTGTGATGGGACTCAATGAGGTGTGAGTTAGAGAATTTTTAGAAAATGTGTAAGAATCTGTATTTAGAAATGTCACATTGCTTAGCATTACCTCCCTCTTTACACTAAAACCCTGATTACTTCATTATATTGTAAAAAGCATTCAGATGCAGCAAATATTTATAAATGATACTCTCCATGATGTAATATTTTTCCAGTGAAGACATGCACCCTGAGTTTATACTTTATCAGTCCACTAGGATGCAGCAGAGTTCAAGAAATGGAACTGATATGGTCTCAGGCTTCTGAGATATTTCATTTTCAATGAATAAATCACTATAATTTGTGAAGATAAATCACAAAGGATATTGATTCAAATCCATGATCTGTTACTATATAATCAGAATACTGAGGCTCCATTGTGCACTATTGTGTGAATAGAGTATTGTTTTTTTTTCCTTATCTCCTCACAATTTGCTATTACACCTCTAAAATCCGTTATGGAATCAGATATGTGGTTTGTAAATGGATAAAAAAAAGATGACGAGCATGGTGCAGAGAAAAACAGGAGTTATCTCAGACAGATACTGATCTATGGATAAAAACAACCATAATTTCTCTGTGCTGCTCACAGTCCACACACAGCACCTCAGAACAGAGGTCATCTTTCACCTCGGCTTCTCATTGCTTTGTTATTCTCTGACCAAAGGGCACAAGGTCAAACAAACATGTGAGGGTTGCTGTTTGGCTGAATGGAGAGGAACAAAGAGGGACATTAGCAACCAGCACAAAGATCACAGACCTTGGTGGCCTTACAATATTTTATGACAGGACTGTGGAAAATAAAATCTAAATAGAGTCACAAAACTGTTTGATTAGATTAGAGAAGACAGGCTGACGAGAACAAAGCGTGTTCAGACAGCTAACCAGTGGAATAAGAGGTAGGACTGAGGTATAATTGCTATTGATAAATTAACCACAAATGTGGGAAAGCAGTTCTCATATGTCCTCATCTCTCCTCTTCTTATGTTTTTTTCTTCTTTTTTTTTTTTTCTGACACACACATGTTGTCATATATATACACACGAGCCACAGCAGTGCAACCGCAACCATATATCTCTCTGGCAGCGCTCATGATACAGCAGGACATCCACCGGCTCCTTGGTGTTACCTGGGTTTAAGATGTGAGTGACTGTAGATAAAACAACATAACAATGTGTTTAGTCTACAGGCAGCCAGCCACTGGGGAATTTACACAGCCAAGGCCTTCATCTATATATATATATCATCAGTCAACATAAAAAACGTTTGGTTTCCTTGGATACCTTCGGTGGTGTCAATAACTGTGGGCTGGACGGCCATGCAACTTTCCACAGGCATTCACAGTCCCAGAAGATGAATCCTCATGACTTCTGTGATGCCCCGACTCATTCAGGTTTGTAATCACTCTGGTGACCCGTTAACATTTCATCTAGCGCCAGCATCAGGTCAAAATTCCAATTTATCCAATACTTTAGCAAAACTAATCACATTCCCATTAGCTTCAGCAAGGGCTGAACACTTAATCGAATTATTATCGAAATTGCAAAATGGCCAAGTGCAATATCCAAATCACAGGAGCTGCCTTTTTTTCTGATGAAGGTAAAATGTGTCACAATAGACCATAAATGAAACACTGCGGTGCTGCAGAGACGCCCCTTGCCGACAAATCATATTCTCCAAACCAACAAACATCACATCATCATTTTAGTTTTTTTTTCAGTGAAGAAGAAATGCAGAAATAATCATTCCTATTGAAATCGTGAGTCATATTATTACAATTACAACGTGCCATATGATGCACCTAAGACAGTGAAGATGACAACAATTATACCTTCTTGACATCATTAGCACTGACATGTTACTCGTGCTGACATATTCACATGTTGACTTTTGCATTTAACCTAAAGCATCACCGTGCCTAAGGACGGTCTCACAGCTGCTAACATTGTTGTGGACTGCCAGGGCCAGGTTTTGCCTGTTCTTACGACATGTTTTCTGACCATGTTGGAAGCTAAAGTGTTTATAATTGTTCTCAACGACCACACAGGAAGCCCAGGAAAAACCAGCTGTCATACAGAACGGGAGAGCATTTTTTATATGGGAATAGTGGTGCACATTTTCATACAGTCTACCCTGAATGCACTGTAAACACAGAAAGTGACATAAATAGTTGTGTAAAGAATGATACAATTGAACTTGGGAGTGATATTCAGACCCTATATACTGTCTCTCCTCCAGAACCGTGGCCAGAGGCCGAATAACGTTGCTGTGAAAGTTACAGAAATTGCTGGACGTGGACGTGGACCAACTCTGACCCTCAGAAAAGTCTGGGGGGGGGGGAGGTTTCTGAAGATATGCAATCATCCAACAAGCAATTCTAATGAAGTATACTGACCTCTTTCATCTTGTTTTGACCTTTGACCTCCTTAATATTAGTTGCTAGTAATATGAAACACAGTTGTTGAAGTAATTCAAAATGATTCTTGATTGTTGATACAAACACAGTCACTACAGCAGCTCAAGATGACATTGTATTAATGTGTGTAATTCAGAGAGCAGATTGTCTTATGAAGAGCGGAGGGACAGCAGTGAATTGTGGTCTCCCAAAAACAGTTTGCTTGTGTTCTGACACACTGGTGCTGTTGTGGCCCCATAACTCAGTGTCTGTCATGAAGAGAGCCAAGGTGACACACATCTATCAACATCTCATATTAGAAATGGCATCGAGCCCAGACACACACACACACACACACACACACACAGACCTTGAATGGTGAGCCACATTTTCTCTCTTTAATCATAGTTAAACTAATGTACAACATGAGACAATAAAAGCAGCAACACGTAGTGAAGAATACTGATTTCAACATCAGCCCATGAAATTATCTCAAAACATTTATGACAGTGCAGAGCTGATGATTGTACTGAGCCCTGTAATTTTAATCATTACAAACGCATTAAGAGAAAAGATGTTGTGGGAACATGATAGGATAAATAGCAAGGCGTGTGATGTGATGAAAACTAGAGTAGAATAATGATGTCTGTGTGATCCCAGGGCTCCCATTGTGGCAGAACCGAAGCCTGTTCCCTTGTTGATATGTTTCCTCTTATCTTAACCTGACACCAACCTTAACCTAACCCTAACCAGGTATCTGTGCTTTCTCCCAGGTGTTGGAATCAAACCTTTTGTCCTCAATAGAATAGAAATGTAACCAACCTTACATAAAGTACTGTAAGTGGAGCAGTTACAGTTTGGCTAAGTTTGAATTTACACATGTTGTTGCCTTGCGAGAGTGTAACATGTGACCAAATGTGAGCAAATTTGCTCTGTGGAGGCACCAAATTCAATACAAGCACTCTTGTGTTTTGGGACTCCATAACAAACATGCTTAGCTGCATATTTAGCTACAAAGCCATTGCTTAATTAAAAGGAAAACAAGCTCAGTGCCACTTTCAAGCTTCTCGCCCATTTTCTGTGAGAAGGCTGACCAAAATAAAGTATCAAAGGGAAATACCTCTATTGCTCTTTCACAATTGTTAATAATTCCCGACATGCAGGTTGAGCTACAGCGACATCACACAGATAACAGCTCAGCCTAATGCATTTTATTTTCTCCCATAAAGAAGCACAATCAGCTCCCGTTGATTCTCACCACAGTTATTTGAAGCCATGACTGCTGCTATAAGCAGCTCATTTAAAAACACAGTGCACAGTAACACAAGCATGGTTGTGA